ACCCCTGGCGCTGCGACATACGACTATCCAGCCCCTTCACAGTACCAGAAGGACTCAATTGTCGGTGTGTACAAGAACGGTGCGGCGGAAATAGACGCTTCCAATGTTTTTGAATCGGGATGGACTCCGGGACACACAAACGGAAGCGCTGCGCGAGGTTGGGGAAAAACCAACAATAATCACAATTCGCAAGATCCTGCTGCCTGTTGGAACAACCGGGGTGACAACAACCCCGTTGCTATCAATGGCATGTCTGAAGAGGAGAAGGAGGTGCGTCGGTCATTAAGAGCAGGTCACCAGGTAAACAATACTAATATGAGACAGGCATTCGCATCTGATGTCAACTCTACTCTGAAGCCTCCTATCCAGAAACAGGAGGGCACCCAGGGACCGGGACCGAATGGACGGAAGGCGTCGCTATCACACGGTAGCGCTGCCGGATACGGATTACAATCGCCCTCGTCTGCCTCTAGACCTGGTACCCGGCGCCGAGAGACGACGGATTCCAACCCTTTTGGCAGCGGTCCCCTCGCTTCACCGAGCGCCACACGATTCGCTCGCGATGACCAACAGTCTTTCCTGTTTGGTCGCAAGAACAATGACGTCAAGGAGCAGGAGCCAGGCGAGGATGAAGGTGCTGGACAGCCTCAGTCCAAGCCGCCCTTTGGAAACCTGACGCGTAGCAATACGGCGGGTAATCCTTCTATGGGTGCCAATATCAGTTCTCTTTGGGGAGCTTCTCAGCCTCCTCCGGCTGGGGGCGCTGCTGGTGGCGGCGGCGGCGGTGGCATGGGTAGCTTCGGCCAATTCGCTTTGCCAACTCCGACTTCGACTATTGGGGGTGGCAACCGTGGTGGAAGTCGCTTTGCAAACCTTATGAACAAGGAAGGCACCGACAGTCCCGCGATCAAGCCTAATGAAGCCTCGACCCCAGAAGCAACCCGATCTTGGCGATCCCGGCCCCGAACCGATACCGATCCCTTCGGCGGAGACGACAACTTATCTGGCAGCGCCGCACTCGGAGGTGCTCGAGATACCAGTCCCCCGCCGATCCCCAACCCTACCAATATCGGGATGTTCGAGACCCCGGTCAAAGGTTCAACTTCGGATTTTGGCATGTCTGGACTGAACCTGGGACGCCCCTCGGAGAACGAGCCTGGCCCAGCGAGCCCGTCGGAAACGAACCCTTATCGCAGCCCGCCGGCCGACCGAAACGAATCGCAGGAGGAAGGATCGGGTGAGAAGCATCCCGGCGGGGCGGCTGTCGGCGCTGAACAAAATCCTGGCTTTGGCACCGTGTCGCGCGGCTTCCCGACACACGCCTTTGACGGCAGCGATCGCAGTCAGACCAGTAGCGCTGGACCTAGAGGTTACGCCTCAGGCTGGCCCGTCCCTTTGTCTACGGGCACTCCCGACCGTGAACGCGCCGGGTTCGGCGGCGGAGTTTTCGGCAATGCTCTCTTCAGTCCTATGGGCACTGATCTCCAGTCTCCCGGATTGTCGAGCATCGGAGGTGGCGTCTTCGGCCCGGCTAGTACCGGTGGCCTCGGTGGCCCAGGCACTATTGGCCGCAGTAAGTTGGGTTCTCTCTTCCCAGCTGCCATGCAAGCACAAATGCAAGGACACGAGCAGGAGAACTTGAGTGATTCGTTGCCCGACCTTCGGCAGAGCAACCCTCTCGGTGCGATCGGCCGTAACAACTTCAGTGTCGCGCCCAGAGACACCGGCAGCCCTCTCCGCAGCGGCCGTGGAGGAGTCTTTGAGGAAATGTTCCCCTCTGACCCTACCCGAACTCATAGCGGATTTGGAGGTGCTGACCACCCTGGCGCTGCGGGCATCGGCCACCCCCAAGCATTCACTCCTGGAGCTTCCACCGGTGGCGAGTTTGGGTCGACTCCTGTGCGCCAGATGGTCATGCCTGACCGTATGCGCTGGGTTTATCTCGATCCTCAAGGACAGGTTCAGGGCCCTTTTAGTGGTCTCGAGATGAACGACTGGTACAAGGCCAACTTTTTCACTCCCGATCTTCGGGTTAAGAAGGTTGAAGACCCCGAGTTTGAGCCTCTTGGACAGCTCATCCGCCGCATCGGAAACTCTCGCGAGCCTTTCCTAGTTCCCCAGATCGGCATCGCCCATGGCCCACCGTCTCAGGCTGGACCATTCTCTCCCAGCGGCAACACCGGTGTCATTCCTCCTCTCAGTGGTGTCTTCCCCAGCTTTGGTAGGACTTTGACCGCAGAGGAGCAGAACAACCTCGAGCGAAGGAAGCAGGAGGAACAGCAAGCGATGGCACAGCAGCGAGACTTTATGATGAGGCAGCAAGCCATCACCCGACTGCAAGGTCAAGGCCCAGGTGGTGTCCCAGGTTCTTTGCACCACCAGCACAGCGCTCACAGCTTGCAGAGCCAACCTAGCTTCAGCAGCATCTCCTCGCCTATTGGTCCTCACACCCAGCAGCCGCCGATTGGAGGTGGAGCTGGCCCGACGTCTGGGTTTTTTGACTCGGCTACCCAGCAGGGATCTTCTCAACCCCCTGTTGGTTCCGGCCTCGACCATTTTCGTGAAGAGGAACTTGCCACACTGAACGCTTCCGAGCGCCAGATGCTTGCGAATGTTCAAGTCCCGCCTAGTCTTGCAGGTCTTTTTCCTCAGCAACCGGTCGGCGCTCCCGCGAATGAGGGCAACCTCCGGAACCACCTTCCCGGTACCGAGCAGCTGGACAAGGACGAAGAGGGATTTCGTGAGCGCCTGAAGGAGTTTGAGGATATCCGTGCCGAACGCGACTCCGAGCAGTCCCAGGATGCCACTACCAGCCAGAGCATTCAGGAAGATGTTCAAGATGTTTCCGCTCCTGCCATGGCTCAGGCTATCAGCAACGAGCACCACAAGTCCCCCGCCCCTGGCATGAAGGAGATTATGGAGGAGGAGCATCAGCTCTCCTTGACTCAACGGGTCCAGCAAGCTCAAGCTGCCGCCGAAGCTGCGAAGAACGCTGCTGCCGGCCTTCCGATGCCGTTCCCTCCCCCCTTGCCTGCAGCTGGCACACCTCTCCCGGCCCCCACCGCCCAGCGTGTCCGTTCCAACTTGCCCGAGCAGTACAATCGTTCCCAGACTGGAACTCCCGACACTGGGTCCGCCACTGAGCCCCCGCCATTGGCTCCTTGGGCCAAGGAGGCCGCTAGTCGCAAGGGACCTAGCCTGAAGGAGATTCAGGAAGCTGAAGCGCGCAAGGCTGCCAAGGCTGAGGAGGTTGCCGCGGAGCGTCGTCGTTTGGCGCTTGAGCAAGAGGCTGCGGCTCTTCGCGAGCGTGAGAAGGCTATTGTCGCTGCTACCGGCCTGCCTACCACCAGCACTTGGGGTAACGGCTCCCCTGTTGCCGCCGCCAGCCCTTGGACCAAGCCCGCCGTTGTCAAACCCACTCCGGGCACCAGCACCCCCAGCAAGCAGAAGACTCTTGCGGACATTCAGCGTGAGGAGGAAGTGAGAAAGCTCAAGGCTAAGGAGGTTGCCATCCAGACTGGACTGGCCACTGCTGCTGCCGGCAAGCGTTATGCCGACCTTGCGACCAAGCCCAATGCTGCTCCTGGCCTCGGACAATCCAGCACGCCCGCCCCGCCTCCTGGTCCCGGCTGGGCGACCGTCGGAGCCGGCGGTAAGGTCAAGGTGCCCACCGGACCTGCCTCTCAGACGAGATCCGTTAGTGCTGCTGGCGTAAAGCCGGTCCCGGTCGTTGCGAAGCCGGCTGTCAAGCCTGTTGCCACCGTGATCGCGGCCGCTCCTGCCAAGGGCAACGTTGCCATGGATGAGTTCAACAAGTGGCTCCACCACGAGTTGTCCCGCGGCCTTAACGGAGTTGATGGTAAGTCATCCATTTCAATCCAGACCCAAAATCCAGTGCTAACGTCGTGTTTAGTGGACACTTTTGCTGGCATCCTTGTTGAACTTCCCCTTGAGGATGGCATCATTGCAGACGCCGTTTACGCCAACTCCAAGACGATGCACGGAGCACACTTTGCTGAAGAGTTTGTTCGCCGCAAGAGACTCGCCGACAAGGGTATCGTTGAGAAGCAAGGCGCTGTCGACAGTAAGACGGGCAGCTCTTCCAGCGGATGGAACGAGGTCGCCAAGAAGGGCGGCCACAAGGAGACGCCTCCTGCCCCCGCCGGAGATGCCGGTATCCAGGGCGCAGGCTTCAAGGTTGTGCCCACGCGCAAGAAGGCGGGAAAGAAGAGCAACTAGGAGCAGCCACCCGCTGCCGCTGGTGACGCTGGTGTCAAAGGCACCCGCAAAAATGCGAGAAAGAGGAACAATTAGAAAATGCTGTGGGAAACTCGCGGCGGAAGATGGCCTGAGACTCCCTGATTAAGCGATGCTTGACGATCATGTCTAGACGGCGAAGTTGTGGCTCAGGATTACTGTAATTGGTTCACAGCGTCATGTAAGCGCTCTGTTGTAGCGATAGGTAGCATGTCAGAAAGCATTGTTGTCAGAGCGTGTACCATCTTGAAATGTGATTCCACTTTTGGCTGACTTGCAGCTTTATGAGATGAGCCATGGCGAGTGAGTATTTGAAGTACCTTACGTGAAGTCGAAATTGAGGTACCTAAGGTAAGGTGGAGATGTTCTCGGTGAGATGCAGGGTGAGTGGCTTATGTAAGGCGGTAGGTGAAAATTTGCCCCGCCCCCACCATGGAAATTTCGATTTCACAGGGCATCGAAACACGCCGAATTCACCGTCTGAGTCACTTGGTCTTGCATCAAGACGAGCATTGTCAGTTGTGATATTCTAGACAAATTCGAACTACGAGAGAATCAAGTTTCTTTATATCTGAATACTTTCTATTCAGAAAAAGGGACGTCAGTGAACATCTCTTTCCGGCGAAACTACCCCGCGACGCGCGGGGCAGAAAAGAAAAGGTCACTTATCGCGACCCAGAACCCCTCGATATCACAAGCGAGGCGCAACCATTGATTGCACATTCGAACACATCATCCGAGCCATGGCGGACGCGCAAACAAATGGCACTCAGGCTCCGGCCTCGCTGCTTTCTCGTTTCACAGACGGCGCCTACATCGATGTCTTGACGTCTTCAGTGGCCAAGGATCTCATCACCAAATTCACCACCAGTCTTCAAGCTCAGACCGCCGAAGGGAACGCCAACCCCACAGCGGCGTCAAAAGAGTCACTATCTGAGGATGAGATCGCTATAGGTCTTGCTGCCCTGAACGCGTTTTTGCAGTCAAATGTCACGGGTCCCGTGCTGGAGCACGCTCACAAGGTAGAAGCTCTCTTCACCGAGGCCTTCACGGCAGGCAACAACGGAAAAGCAGAATCAACAGACACCCTCAAGGCGCTACGCAAACACAGTCTCAAGGCCCTCGAAGTCGACGGCGTCTCACCGTATCCCTACATCCCGCACATCGAGCTCTTTGCGCTCGCCCGCTATGTCTTCCACGACGCTTCCTCGGCCAGCGACGCCGTCGTGAAGCTCTCTTCTTCCACCTCATCCCGCCTGAGTCTGCCCTGGACCCGTTTGCGCGTCAACGTATGGCACTTCAAGCTCCTGAGTCAGCCGTCTCTCGGCCCCGGCGCCAACTTTGCAAAGGCGTCGCAATGGATCGACGTCCCGACGCTGGCGGAGCAGATTAACCTCGGCATCCATACCGTTAGGAAGCAAATCCTCGACGAGGACGTGTGGTCGACGGGCGAGGAAGCCTGGTCGCGCGAGGAGAAGGTGCAGTTCTTGCTTGAGGTGTCCAACACGCATATCATGCTCGGCCGCGATGACCGGGCGCGCGAGGCGCTGGAGGAGGCGACCAAGTTAAACAACTTTGCGTATGCGCTCTCTGGTGCCCTGGGAAAGAGGACAAAGTTCCAGGAGAAGAGCACCAGTCAGCTTGTGGTTCTCGCAAAGAGCGATGCGACGACCGAGAGCGAGGGAACGGCAGCAGACGGCGAGGAGGAGGCCAAGCCTGAGGCTGTTGCCCTCAATGATGATACCCTGCTCGAGGAGATTCAGTTCTCCAAGGAGGCGAGCGGCAAGCATGGAGAGCTCGCTGCCACGTCTTCGGGGCTTCCCGCGGCGCTGGCAGATTTGTCTCCCGAGGCGCAGCCGCAGCTGTCGCCCCTCGATCAGATTATTCTCCTTACTGAAGCAACACTCAAGGACACCTTTTCTCCTGTTGACACTTTGACATCGGAGGAAGTGCTCCCGTACGCCGTGCGCGTGGTCTCAGACAAGGCGACGAACTGGCAAATCTACTCGCAAGCGCTTCTTGTCCGTTCCCGCATCGAGGTCCACCGCAGCAGAACAGTCGAGAGAGGTGTCCTGCAAATGCAAGCCGTCGTAGACCAAGTCGTCGTCGACACCTCGGAAGCACCCCGCCCCAAAGCCGAAGACGTCGCCAACGACGAACCCGCCGACGTCCCCGCCATCGCCGTCTCCGCCCCAGGCGAGCCCGAGATCGACACCACCGCCGCGGCACCCGTCGACACGGAGAAACCCACATCCTTCTTCCCCGCCGCCAAGGAAACGGATACCGCGCCCGCGCACGTCCGGCTGCAGTACATCCACGCGCTCTCCTCCCCTCCCAAATGGCACCTCGAGTCCGAACTCGCCTACTCCTGGGCTGGCGTCGGCTCCCTCGTCTCCGCCCTCGAGATCTTCAAGCGCCTGCGTCTCTGGGCCGAAGTCGCGCTCTGCCTGGCCAGCAGCGCCTCCAACGACGACGACTCGGGCCGCGGCAACGGCGGCGAGGAGAAGGCCAAGGCGCTCGTGCGCTGGCGGCTGTTCCATCGCACGGGACAGCCTCTCGTCGAGAACGCGGATGCCGATGCGGAGGATCTGGACGCGCGGGATGTCACGTACCTTAACCCTGCCGACTTCACCGGCCCCGAACGGAGTCCGCCGCCGCCGAACGCGCCGAGGCTGTTTTGTATCCTGGGCGACTTGGAGAATGAGCCGGCGCACTGGGAGCGGGCGTGGCAGATTTCGAACAGGCGGTTCGCGCGCGCGCAAAAGTCGTTGGGAGAGTGGTACCTTTCGCAAAAGGAGTGGACCAAGGCGCAGGACGCGTATAAACTCGCGACACAGTGTAACCGTTTGAGTCCCGAGATGTGGAGCCGGTTGGGCGATATCAGTCTCCGGCTGGGCCAGTTCCCGGATGCCGCGGAGGCGTATAGTCGGGCGATTGGCGCCGCTGGGGATGTCGTTGGTGGCGAGGACGCCAGGACGTGGAGTAACTTGGGCAGTTCGCTTTGGAGCATGTATCTCGAGGCTGTGGAGGAGGTCAAGAAGCAGATTATCGAGGAGAAGAAGAATGGCACGGCGGAGGCAAAGGCGGAAACCGAAGAAGCAGAGGAAGAAGACGACGAGGAGCCGAAGAAGCGGGAGAGTAAGGCCAAGGACCCGGCGACGCTGCTATCCCAGTCCCTGGCGGCCTACAAGCGCGGCGCCTCGATCGCGCAGGATAACTGGCGCATCTGGGACAACGTCCTCACACTCGCCTCACGGATGCGTCCGCCCGCCGTGTCGGAGATGGTGCAGGCCCTCCGCGCCATCATCCGCATCCGCAACACCGAGGACGCGCTCGACGACGACGTTCTCCGCGCGCTGCTTCAGGAGAGCGTGCTTACCAAGGAGAAGGAGAATGACGAGAGTAAGACAGGGGTATACGTCCCGCCGCGCGGTACCATTGAAAAGGCCGTCATTGCGCTTTTTGAAGAGAGCGTTGTGCCGCTTATCACGACGCGCTCGGAGCTTTGGGAGCTTATTGTTCGGGAGCGGGTGTGGAGACGCGACTACGCCGGCGCCGTGGATGCTGCGGAGAAGGCTTGGAGGGCGGCGATGGGTGCCGGTGCGGGCGGTGGGTTGAAGGCTTCTTCGGCGGGGTCGGGGGGTGCCGGGGACGATTTGAGCCGGAACTGGCTTGCGGATAAGGGGGCGTGGAAGGTTGTTGTTGCGAGGACGGATGAGCTTGTCAGTGTGTTGGAGAACTTTGGGAGCGAGGTTGAGAGTGTGGGCAGTCGGTGGAGGGGCAAGGCGAGGAATGCGGTGAGGAGTGTGATGAGTAGAGGCAAGGAGGCGTGGGAGGGGACGGAGGAGTGGGTTTTGTTGGAGGGGATGATGGAGGGGTTGAAGTTGTGAGGCTTGAGGTTGTGATGGCGATGGACGGCGCGTTGAGATAGATGTCCATCACACGGTGGATGAATGAGATAAATAGAGCACATGGGTGATAACCAAACACCATGATGACGATCATCTTCAATGCATAAATGACCTTTCTCGAAGATCCGTGTAGATTTCATAAGTGATGATTGACAGTGCCTACGCGCTAGAAATACTCGTTCGTAAAACCCAAAACTCCCCCGATCCATCACGATTGGCGAGCTATTGCAGGATGGTTTGAAGAATGAGATGATTTCACCACGACGATCCACCAAAATTCACTCTGCAAAACAGCACAGCGTGAGCGAACTCAAGAGCACGCCCGTTCAGGTCCTCCACGCAACATTATCGACATTAGCGATGGCTTAGAATTCCATTCAGATCAAAAGCTTCCCGAACATGCATGCAATCCGAAAGCCTGCTCGGCAGACTTCTCAACATCTCGTATCGGTGAATCTTTTCACGACATCCTCTCATCTCATCGCCCAAAACTAACCACAGGTTCGGATGAGCGTTCAGTGAAGCAGAAGAGCCTGAAATTGGGGATATGAGTCACCCATCAATGCGCCCCTTCCTGATCGTGTCTGAAATGTTTGGGACGAGTTTCCATGCGATAAGCTTCTTAGACTGCCTCACTCCGCGAATACTCCTTCAAGAATCGAGAGGTCTCGACCGCCGTGCTGCCTGGAGTCTAGCCTGGGGGAACGGGCCCGGTTCAGGGGTGACCCGGAAAAGCGGGGATGATGGGACCGGGGAAATCAGGCAGACTGCCCGGGTCGAGCGGCACGGTGCTCGGTAGCGTTTGTTAGTGGCAGTTCTGCCTGGAATCCATCCCCGTCCGATGCCATGTGAGTTAGGTTCAACATTTGACTTCATGCTTGGAATTATATGAAGTTCATGTGCAGTTGCTGAATATAAAGATGAGATGGAACGGCCATTGTAAATTCACATTAGGAGATTCATCACCTTCAAGCAGATCATTATCGCCTATCCTCATCAACAACCTACATCAACACTGGTATAGGATATGTACATTCTCTACGATAAGAAGAATCCTTCAGATCATATTTCACCCACTCAAATGCCTCCCGTTTCAGCTCAAGAAACCGCCACTATGTCCCTCAGATTTAACAACTTCACCGACGGTGAGACGGTTCACCAGGTACGTGATCAACGCATCCTGTTACTAATAGTGCATCATCTGAACGAGACTCTTCTAACGTCATCCTCAACCAGCGCTGCGTAATCATCAAAGGAACTTATACGACCGGTCCCAGCCCCAGCGATGACTTCGCAACAGTTGAAGCCACTGATGGCACAAATACAACCTTCCCAACCCAAACCTGGCCCATCGCAGACAGCAGGATCAAAATCATAGCCCTGCTCTCCCCAGGCCTCAACAAACTTACAATCACCCGCACATTCGGCACTCAAACCATCATCAACGAGCTCAACCTCACCTACATCCCCCTCCTCCAGTCGCCCCCTCTCCACCTCGCCATCATGGTCTCTAAAGACTCCCCTCTCCTCATCGACTGCCCACCCCTCAAATACGGCGCTTCTTCCACGGCTCACTCCTCCCTCGACGCCGCCATCGCCAAGCTCCGCATGTCGGCGTACATGTGGCAGGCCCTTACCGCCGAGGACATGCGACTCAAGGGTCTCGGACGCCGTTCCTTTAGGCTGGACGAGGAATGGGCCGCCGACACGACTAGTCGTGAGTTTCTGAACGGACTTCATGAGGCTGCTCTTTTTGACAGTGGCACCATGCGCTCTACTGCCAAGGTTCATGTCATTCGATCCGAGAGGACGACGGCAGAGATCCGAGACGCGGAGGTCGCGCAGCAGAACGAGACCGCAAAGTCAAGAGATGGACTGTTTGACTACTTTTTAGAGGCACTTGCGGCCCAGGGTTCGCCTTTCGAGGCGTCGGCGCATCCGGTTGTCGCGGGCATGATTCTTGATTCGCACTTTTCTGTAAGCAAGAAGCTTATCCTTGGCCACGCCGCACTGGGATGCCACAACCCATCTGGTGTGTCCCTCGGCATGATGGGCAGTCACCTAACGTACTCCTGGCCTCGGTTCCTGGAAGAAGTCTCAGACTGTCTTCTCGATACTCGCGCACCGGGCAACACAGTCGGTGACGACAACGGAGAGTGCGGGACGTTTTGGGAGGCTTGTTCGATCGGCCAGGGCGCGTTCTTGCACGAGGTCGGACACGCTTTTGGGGCTCCGCATACGACTGGTATTATGGCGCGCGGGTACTCTGGCCACTGGCCGCGGAACTTCCTGGTTAAAACGGCGTATTCTCAGAAGGTCAATAAGGAGGGTTTCGTCGTGGTTGACGGTCAGACGGAGAACGATGCCAGGTGGGATCTGCGGGATGCCCTGTCCTTCCGGTCTCTCAACCACTTCTGGCTGCCCGGCGATACGAGGCTGTCTGCGACGCAGCGATCAAGCGCCCCGACCGTCTCGCTCATCAACATTGAGACTGATGATGTCGGAGTTGAGATTGCTTGTGCAGCCAACCTTGCCCGGATGGAGTTCAACGGCAAATCCGAGCTTCTCCCATCCATGGATTGCCCGGCGTGGAAGATTTCCTACACTCTCAAGGAACTCGAAGCCCGCTTCTCCCGCGACGAGAGCCTGAAGCTCTACGTGCTCGGTATGAACGGCAAGACGAAGACGGTGCGCGACCTCTGGCGTCTCTTCTCGTCTACCACGTATATCCGTATTCCCGGGTCGGACGTTCTTCTGCGCAAGCGATCCGTCGTGACGAAGGACCTGGAGGAGTCGATCGACGACGGCGAGGGTGAAAAGTTCTGGTCGTGGGCGACGCTGCTTACACGCCGCAAGAGCGATGGGTCAGTTGTGCGGGCGAAGGCAGTTGATGTGCGGACTGGATGCATTCTCGACGGCGCGTATGTGCATTTCCCTGGCGGCGATCGTGTGAACTGCGGTCCGCGGATCAGGAAGTGGGGTGGTGGTGAGCATACGTTTGGGGGGCATGCCTCTGAGGAGGTTAATATCCCCAAGGGTGCAGAGATTGTCAAGATTGAGGTGTCTAGGGAGGAGGATACCCTTCGCGGTATGAGGATTCATCTGAGTGACGGCTCGTCTGGTGGTGCTTTGACGGGTTACGAGGATGTTCCCGAGACCTCGGCTCTTGGTGAGTGATCTAGTGTCTGGGTTTCCCGTGAATTCACTGACTCGATACTACAAACAGAGGCGCAAGTGAACGAGCGTATTGTCGGTTTCTACGGCCGCAGCTGGTGGGGTAGCAACTTTGACGGCTTGGTTGAGTTTGGTATCATTACCGCTCCCAAAGACTTTGAGTTGCCGGAGGTTGTGTACGGAATGACGGAGCTCCAGAACACGGATGGGGGACTCGGGGTATGAATTTTCTGGTCCTGAATGACATAGCCGTAGACAGGCAGCTAATATCTTCTAGGATGAGGCAGATTTTGAGAGTGGGGATGAGGAAATGGACCATGAAGAGTAGATAGCGACGGCTCACGGTTGCTGGGCCTCAACCAGCCTCGGAGCTCATAAGTACTGTTATGATAGCAATGGTCCATAATTACACGCGCTCTTCTCACGTTCGGGTGTACGGCCGAGCCGCTGATTGCCCTTGCTATTATCTCTACACTTGATACGACCTGCTTAGCTTGAAGATGACAACGTTGGCTGAGCCAGGAGCATAATCTCTTCTCCAACCATTCGCAGTGGATCATACGCGCTGGCTTCCTTCCTGAGCTCCTCTGCTCGCCTCTTGTACTTCTCCTCACCCAGAACCTGTGTCACTGCTTGCTCAACGGCACTCGCCGATGGAGGTGACTCTGCCAGAAACACCCCCAAGCCAGACCACTCGATCCTTCTCCCAATATCTGGCTTGTCAAAAGTGTTGCCTGCTTGCACCATCGGCACACCATTCGAAACCGCATGCTGAAACCCTCCGTACCCGCTGTTCGACACAAAGGCGTCCGCGTGCGCCAAGATCGCGTCGTATGGGAAGTAATCCACCACCCGAGCATTTGCGGGCAATTCTCCGTTTTCAAAAGTGCTGGTATCGAGCGCTGCTCCGGCCACGCAAAGACACGCGACGGTCAGAACATCTGGATGTGTAGCCAAGGCCTTCATTGTCGGGATGATTAGTTCTTTATGGTCCAGGACTTCCGTTCCCTGGGCTACAAAGACGATCTTCTTGCGATTGGGATTTGATGCATGAAGAGATGAGCTGTTTGAGAGGACGTCGTTGAACCACGTCGGATATGTGAGGTCAGTTGGAATAGGTTTGATTGGGAGTGTGCCCGCGAACTTGATCTTCTCTGGCCAGTCGGATGACGGAAATTCAAGACTCGGGAGACACATTTGCAGGACTGTGTCGTGACAGACTGTCGATGCGTCCCAAAATGGATGTTTCAAACTCGTCGCGAGCCCATCATAAAGGCAATCAACGGGCTTGGGACATCCCATCATTCCCAGAACCCATCTCGCGCGATCTTCAGCAGAGCTGTTCCACGTCTCCTTGAACGCTTTCGCATTCCTTGTCCGCCCTTCCTCGCTGTCGTCGAAAGGGAGTCCAGATCCCCACGGTGGCCGCTCAGGGCTGGTCCAGAACACTGGAACGACACCAATCCCAATAGTCCGAAGAACCTCATCCTCTTCAAACAGTTCAGGGAGGTCGGTGCCCAGCTTCAACGCCAGCGTCCCGGAAAAGCACGTATCTGACAAAACGATGATCTGGCAGCCGGACTCTCGTCGCCTCATACCCGCCAACGCCACCCGCACTGACTCCAGCCCGCTTGGTAGCAGTGAGATGAATCCCCCATCGAGAGATGCGGCAAGTCTCGTGGCTGGATCCGATGCGTGGGCGATGTCTGGCCAGCGAGATGGATCGTCGAGGGTTTTCCAGAGCCCGATGATGGGACTGAAATGGGCCCCGACTGCTTCGATCGTCGGCTTCCACCGTTTTGTTCCCAATATCGTGACGTCGAAGCCGCTGCTGATGAGGTATTTGGTGATTTGGAGCGCTGGTCGCATGTGCCCCTCCCGTGGGGGCACAGCGTAGAGAATCCAAGGTTTTGTCTTTTGTTGGACTACCATTGTGTCTGGTGAGATGTAGTCAGCTACAAGAAAAGAACAAAAGGAACCCCATAGTTTCGATATTTCTGGCCTCTTGGCAAGTCGTCGTTGGAATGAAGTGCTTGGACGGGGAGTTGCCTAACCTCGTTATCAGAGCTAACTTGATTAGACGATGGATCCGGGGTCCGAAATTGCTGTCAGATAAGCAAGGGCCGTAGGATTTAAGAACCCTGAGGTTGAAGATTGAAGCTTGTCTGGATGTACACGAGTCAGCCTAGGATTGAGCCCAGGAACCACCTTCAACCGCACTTTAATCCCGAGAGATTCGACTCATGAGGGTTTCTGACGCCTTAAAGCTATATCGGCTACTTCGAACCATGAAGCTTCCAGCCATGGAAATTCATGCCAGTCAAGTCTCCTGCTTTTGTATAGCATATGGCATCCCAACGTCATCATTTTCTAGTGATCTGGGATTTCTTTTTGATTTCACCTCCAAATCACTTGATTCTCTGCATGGGACCCCCTGGACTACTTTCATTTATTTTGAGTTTGAAAACCGCACATGTATGGGGAAGGTCGAATTGAGACAGATACTGACAGTCGCCTGACTCAGGGACCATGATAGGTGTTAAGATAACTCTATTAGCATCAGGTTATCATTCGAACTCAAGTCTCGGCTACGTATCCGTATATGGCATTCTCAAGCACCTTATCTTCGAGAAGCAGACTGACGATTCTTTAGACTATCAAGAGGACGTCAAGAAAGGAAGATGGCCCAGCCTTAACCCTAATACCGTATGAACAATACATGTACATTCAGGCATACATTAAATGAGTACCGTGAGATAATTTAGACATCCAGAGCCTGGAGGTTTTGTGTCATCGACAGGTTGTAGCCTTGCAGAATGTGTAACCTGTTCTACAAAACCATTTCTCTAGTCAATCTCGAAGAACATGAATGTTCAGCATTTTCGATCGAGACTTGATTGGCTATGTAAACCAATGAAATACTGTCGCGCTTTAGTCTCAGATAGCCAGCTGTGTTATTTAATGGCCGTTGGTTGCCTTCATGCAGGTCGAGCTTCCACACCAATCGAAGTTCGTCATCAAGCGCCCTGCTGCCTAATGTAAGGCTTCCATGAGGCGATGCCAAATTGAGGGGTAATGCAAGATCTACTCATTGATTCCACAAGGGACACTCATGCTGATTGCGTTTTCTCGTTAAGTAGTTTAAATCAGCTGGAGAGATATCTCTTCAATACCAACAGTTCTCACTTAATCTTGTTCAGTCACCACGCATGACCTCTCCACATAGACCTTCGTACCTAGTTTTGAGAAGACCTAAGAAGTTGTCACGGACATTCCATCTGCAATGTCAGCCAACGAGTCGAAGCGTCGTTCTGGATTCAGACCACTGGATGAGACTGAAGCATTCCAGTATCAGCCCTTGGACGAAGGAATCGATTGCACCAGATTTTTGAGGATCAACCCTGCAAGCGATGATATGGATCTTATCAGCTGCGACTTGGTGCACATTGCATTCGGCGCAAGGCCAACCTATGATGCCTTGTCGTACAGATGGGGCGAGGAGGCTGTTACACAGTCAATCGCCCTAAACGGCCGTCCCTTCTCCGTGGGCAAGAATCTCCACGATGCCCTCTTCTATCTCCGAAATCAAGGAGAAGTTGGCCTTCTGTGGGTTGACGCAATCTGTATCAACCAATTAAACATACAGGAGCGCAATAGACAGGTCTCCATCATGAGTCACATATACTTCAGAGCAGACACGGTCGTGATCTGGCTCGGAAGCGCTTATTCGGCACACGGTGGAAATACGAGCCCTCTTGTCTCGAGCGTGACGCCTGACGACGTTTTTCGAGACGCCCCCTTGCGCTCTTTCACCACCTCCCACCCACGTGGTGAAAATGATTCAGCGAGTCTGATTCTTCAGCGCAAGATGATGCTTCAGTTGGCAAAGGACGAGTACTGGAAGAGAGTCTGGATTATTCAAGAGATTGGGCTTGCCCAGAATAGACGCGTATGTTTCGGTACTACAGCCATGTACTGGAATGACTTTATCACGACGATGACGCTGCATAAGATTCCTTTGCAAGGACCTATGCTGTTGGATGAGGAAATTGATAAGAGATTTCAAGGCTCTCATAGACTCAAGAAACTCCTCTCCCAGCACAAACACGCCCTCTGCAAGGACCCCAGGGACAAGATCTATGGGTTGATCGGCCTTGCGGTGGATGGCCACGGCTTTCCGAAAATCGATTACAACAAATCACTGTTCCAGATCTGGAAAGACACTATGGAGTTCATGAACAGCCATCAAATGTTTCAGGAAGGAAAAGAGGATGACATTATCGAATACGGAACGTTGGTGAAATTCCTTCTGATGGGAGTGCAGAGCACACCACTTCAAGAAGTGATACGGCCATATACCACAGGAGGCGTAGTTTCATTCGACACAAATGAAGATGAACCCGGAATCTTCCGCATAATGGGGTCTTTGATTGGTTGTATCCAGTCTGTTGGGCCTTCGGCAAAAGATATCGTCGGTAAACTGAGCGAAGTTGATGAATGGTCTTCCAGAGTGCAAGACAACTACCGACATAATCTTGGCTCTGCCTTTGCGCAAAGCATCGACCTTTTAAGGGCCATCTTGAGAAAGACAGAAGCGGAAGTATCAAAACTTTGTTTCAATCATAAAAGTACCGTCTCATGGAGTTACCATGACAGGTACATGGAAGGAACTATACTAGGGGAATGTCTGACATGGCCAACAAAGGAGAAGTCAAGACTTGGGTCGAGTGAGGATTCCATCTACCTCGAAACTACTTTCAGAACGAAAAATACAGCAGAGGCTCTGTTGTATCAGCTCTACACTGGCAATTCAATAAACAATCCGACATCATGGAAGATGGGGGTTGCTTCGGGCCAAGCAGCAGGGGGGGATCTTATTTTCTGGGTCCAGGGCACCAAAACGGCATTGCTCGTTAGACCAACAGAGGTTTCCACATTTTGGGGACGTAAGCCCAGCTACACGGACTGTGGCGCAAAGCTTCAGGTAGTAGGCACCGCAATGGTTGCTGAAGACATTGCGGACCCAAGTATTGATCATCCTGCACGGTTAGACAAGTTGACCAAAGAGGGGTGGGGTCGGAGATTGGAGTTGAAGCTGGATGCTCCAACGGTCTACATCATCTTACCAGGCGCTCAGCACGACTAGAAAGAATGTTTGTTCCACGTTCGTCACGAATATCAATCATTGCTTGTCACCTACCGTGATTGCAATATATTGCACATCCATTTGTCAAGGGACGAAGATCAAATTACGGACATGATAGATTGAATTCCGGCATTGTGATAGATTCCAGGTACAGGCCAGTCGTGTTGTTATCCTCCATTTTATGGAAGATGCCTTGGAGGATGCTCGCTGCTCATGACGCGATGAGAAGTGCACTTGGGACACTTCACTGCATGTGTACATGAATGTACGTATCGCATCCTCAGAGACCACTCCCCACCCCCTTGGCAAACTTAGGTATATTCGCTTTTGCTCTACCAAGTGTAAAACCCAAGCGTTAGGACAATTCGCCGGATGAGCTCAAACGAATTCAACACCTACGAAAATACCGAGAGCAGAAGAGGCGCTTGTCAACTCACCTAGGTGATTGATGATTTGACGTTGACTCAAAACCGGAGTCAACTTTGTTGAATGATATCTCCCTTGAGGTGTGATTCGTCGCACGTGTCCCTCAAAAGTTCCGAAGGATTCGTGCTCTGCAGTTCGTAATACTGCATTCAGCTAGGCACTGCAGGGACTGCTTTACCAGATTCCGACTCCTGGGCCTCGGAGCCGAGTAATAGTCGGCAATCGACTAGACGAGGTCAGTAGGAGTCATCATCACGGTTTAAAAAACGTCACCCAGCCGCAGTTTTCAAGATCAGGACACTGACTTCATTGCGAAACTTCCTCTGTCAAAATTAAGAGAACTCAGTCTCGGAACATGAGTCTCACAGATGTCGAGAAGCACGCTGGACTTACGGGGAGAATGTCCCAGAACACGGTAAGAAATAACGACATGAACCATAATACCGAAGCGATATCAGGACCAAACTCGTGTCGACCAGTATTGCGAGAGCTGTACGAGAAGTATGGAGTAAGCATATGGCTATGATTCTTGCGACTCCAAGTTCCTCACTAACCCTATTCCGAGGGAAAAGGCGACTTGGGACAGCCTAGAAGACCCCCATGATCCATACAACTGGCCGACGCATCGCAAGCTTACAATTGCGGTACTGATTTCAACTGGGCAGTTGATCACTCTCATGTCAACCAGCATGATGGCGTCCGCTCTACCACAAATATCTCGAGATCTTGGTATAAGTGCTACCACAACACAAACTACTTTCTCGCTATTCGTTTTGGGCCAAGCATTTGCCCCTTTCCTGATCGCAGCTTTGTCTGAGATGTATGGGAGAAAGCCTGTCTGGATTGGTTCGTGTTGCTTCTATCAGCTTTGGAATGCACTCTGTCCCGTCGGAAAGAGTGCGCCGTTGATGATTGCCGGAAGGTTCCTATCCGGTTGCGGAGCCAGTGCTGGTGTAGTGGTATTTGAACCCCTATTGCATTTTCACTAATTCCTACATAGGTATTAACTGACGATGGTCGATAGTTGACAGGTCCCATCATGGCTGACATGTACCGGGCCAAAGACCGTGGTAAATCTCTTGCGATCGCATCGTTCATCCCATACTTTGGCCCAGCGCTCGGCCCCATCGTCGGCGGGCTTGTGTCGGATCATATCGAATGGCCTTGGCTATTCTGGATATTGTCCATGTTCTCAGGGGGGATTACATTGGTCGCATACTTTTTGGTTGACGAGACCTACACGCCGATATTGCTTCAGCGCAAAGTTGAAAGCCAGTCCTCGAGCGGCCGCAGTCGCTTCGCTCCTCCATGGAACGGAGTCGTTCAAAGGGGGCTTTTCAAGGAATTATCAATCCATCTTCTAAGACCGATCGAAATTCTTACTCACCGACCGATCATCCTGATGATATCATGGATCTGGGCAATTAGTTTCGGTCTTTACGTTCTCGTTCTCTCGTCATTTGCCAGCCTGTGGATGGACAGATACGGCCAATCGGAGACCCAAAGCACGTTCAACTACATTGCTCTAGCCATTGGGATCACAGTTTCTTCGCAGGCTGGAGGTCCACTCATGGACTACATGTTCCGACGCCTCCAAGACCGATCCAATGGCGAGACAACCCCAGAATTTCGAGTGCCCTACCTCATCATTGGAGTCATTCTCCTCCCCGTTGGTTTATTCTGGTATGGATGGGCGGCAGAGAGGGGCATGCATTGGTCATTCGTGGATGTCGGCGCCGCTATCTTTACTTGCGGAACGTTCATCACGGGGTCTGCAATAAACGCTTACCTGATTGACGAGTTCAAACACGCTGCATCGGCAAGCGCGGCAGCACGTATGCTGTCCAACGTGTTTGGTTTCGCTTTCCCCATCTTCGCCCCGCAACTATTCACCAGGCTCGGATATGGCTGGGGCAATAGTCTGCTGGCATTCGTATTTATAGGAGTTGGACTGCCATGCCCCATCTTTCTTTGGCTTTGGGGCGCGAAGATACGGGCTCTAGGACGAGGAGCTCAAAATTGAGTACTTTTAGGTATTGCAGGTATCGCCATGGCCAATTACAGAGGATGATGATCAGATATATCAGGAGTCTTAGGAACAGTGTACGCAAATGGTTTGCAGAATGCGTTGAATTTCATCATGTCTCCAGTCATTAGATCCCCGATTAATCTAGATTCACAACGAACACCCGAACTTAAAGCAGTGGAATAGACCAAGAACAATTACTACGGCCGTCTGGAAACGACCACCATCCTAGCTAGACCTGAAGTCAACCATGAACCCAATGTTGTAAGATACGCAACCCATATGTAGAGCCCGTTGAAAGAAGTGAATAAGCAAGCCCCTCGATTCGAAGAGCCAGTACATGAGAAATAGAGTCTTTTGATCACCGGATTCTCTTACAACAGGAAGACGACTCCAGCAACCGCGCACAGAGCCATGCCGACGAAGCTGAATGGAACAGAAGATCTGCTGGAACCGGCAACGGTAACAACAGGGGGCTTGGCGCCTCCTGTGGGAACACCACCGCCGGGTGCCGTGGGGTTGACGGAGGGCTGGCCTGCGGGAGGGTTGGCAGGGGGCTGACCAGCAGGGGGCTGAGCAGAGTTGACGGGAGGCGAGACCGACACGGAAGGGTTCAAAGGAGGCTGGCCGGCCGGGGGCGTAACTGCAGGGCCGGAAGGAGGCGCTCCTGAAGGAGGTGCACCAACAGGGGGCAGAGCAGAGTTGACGGGAGGCGAGACCGGCACGGTAGGGTTCAAAGGAGGCTGTCCGACAGGGGGAGTAGCAGTAGGCACAGCCGGGGGGTTGGCCGGAGGGCTGGCGGGAGGCATGGCCGGGGCGGTGCCGGTGGGGTACGGAAGGGTGCTCGGCGGCTGGGGCTTGGGGCAGTTACCGTTGCAAGGCGTGACGACCTTGCACTTGTCGTCGGTGCACTCGTACTTCTTGTTGACGTCGGTGTACGGGCAGGTCTCGTGCTCGCACATGTCGCCAGTGCAGACGTACTTCTTGTAGCACTCGTCTCCTGAGCAGGTCTCGATCTTGCAGGCGTTGCCGTAGCAGGTGATCTTCTCCTTGATGCACTCGTCTCCCTGGCACTGAGAGTATCCGCAAAGTCCACTCTTGCAGATGATCTTGCGGCCGCAGTCGTATCCGCTGCAAGTCTCCGGGTGGCAGAGTCCGTCCACGCACACAAGGCGACGGCGGCACTCATCACCGTAGCAGGGGTAGTCGAAGCTGACGTAGTCACCGTAGCAAACGAGCTTCTTGTAGCAGTCGTCGCCGTAGCAGGGCTGGCCGTAGCACTGTCCGTTGCTGCAGGGGTTGGGCGCGGGAGTCTCGGTAGGGCAGTAGGTGGTTGTGACGGTGGTAACGCCGGTGGTGAGAGATCCGATGGCACAAGTCAAGACTCCAGGAGGGCAAGAAGTGACGGTTCCAGTAGTCGTGGTTGTGAAAGAAGTAGTAACAGTCGCAGACGCGGTGGTTCCACCAGCCAGTCCGAGACGGATGTAGATGGTGAAGCGGACGTTGAGGCCAATGAGTTGACGTCTGGTCAGTCCGACCTGGCCACCGCAACGCTCAGCGCTGTTGCCACCGCAGGGAATGTTGCACTGGTCATCAGGAACGGAGATCTCGTTGACAGAGTCCACAGTTGAGCCACAGAAGCAATCATTGGCGAAGAGACCGACGTACTTGCTGGACGGGCAAGCAGCAACGCAGCGCTCGATGGTCATGGACGCAGCAGACTGAGTGAGAACAAAGGTCGGGAAGCTTGTGGGAGAGCGGAAGCAGCCCAAGTAGCTCGCATCACCGACGGTCAGAGGGTTGACAGACGCGCTGGAAGACGCGGCAGCACTGGAGGTGGAGGTGGAGGTAGAGCTGAAGGAAGAGGATTGCGTGTCAATGGTGGACGTGGTGGGAACGCTGGTGACGCCCTCGGACGTAGAGCTGATGGTTGTGACAAAGGTGCTGCCATCGCTGGTGAAGCTCGATGTGGACAAGATTGTGGATGTGAAGGAAGAAGGAACGCTGGTGGTGATGACAGAAGAGGTGCCTGATCCGATGCTCGTGGTGACCGAGGGGACACTGGTGACGCCCGAGGTGACGCTTGAGAGGGTAGTCACGATGGTGCTGCTGCCGCTGACGAAGCTGGAGGTAGAGAGGACAGTCGAGGTGAAGGAAGAGGCGACGCTGGTGGTGCCAACAGAGGTCGTAGCAGATCCAACGCTGGTGGAGACGGAGGGCACGCTGGTGACTCCGGTGGTGGCGGAGGAGACAGTGGAAGCACCTGTGCTACCTGCGGCCGTTGAGGATGAGGTGGCTACGGCCACAGTTGAGGTGACGCTTGAGGCAACAGAGCTGACTGTTGTAGACGGGAAAACAGTCGTGACACCTCCTCCGGGAAGGGTTGAGACAACGGGCACGGGGTTGAGAACGAGGGTTCCGACGGGGAGAGCAACGCTGACGCCACCACCACCGATGCCGACAGTGGCAACACCCCCAATACCGACACCGACTCCGTTAGTTCCGGCTCCGACGGTGACCGGGAGGCCGCCAGCACCGACTGAGGCTGCAACGCCTCCTGAGTTGACACCAGCAGTGACAGTGGCTCCGGCGGCACCAACAGAGGCGGCGATCGTGGATCCAACGCCAGCAACAACGGTGGCAACACCACCGAGGCCGATGCTGACACTGACAGTGTTGCCAACATTGGCGCCGACGCCCACGCCTGCAATTGTTGTGGTGAGACCGACGTTAATGGGAAGAGTGGGAATCGGGAGTCCGAGAACCTGAGCCGCAGATCCCTGGGCCAAGATGGCAACGGCCGCGATAGAGCGGAGCGCCATTGCGAAGAGAGTGACAAGAGTGATTACTAAAGAGTGACTAGACCTCTGGCGGTTAGCGAGAGAAATGAGGTCAAACTGAAAGAATGAATGTGGCCCAAGGGCAAGGAAAGAATGTCGTGATTATCGTGATGATGAGAGTGAAAAGAAAGACGTCTGAGGAGGCAATATTGCCGTCTTTTTATCTCGGATTTCGTTTGCCATCGTGTTGACATTGTCTGGAAATAGAAGACTGAGAATGCTCTCTGAAGCTTTTCGATGCCATAGTCGCCCCTGAAAAACGGAACCACCTCGAAGAATGCAGCAATGTCCTCTTCATGCCTCATCTGAGCCTAGTAGTAGGCGATGCTTCGCCTCTGTCCTGTTGTGCGAGGGTCTACCTGCGGACGTTAGCTCCCGATCATCATGATCTAGCCCTACCTCTCCTTGCAAAGGGTGAAGAGGGATAGTTGGCCAGGAAAGTCCTTGGCTTGGCTCGGACTATGCTGGTTGGCACCAAGAAACATCAGAATTCAGTCGCGTAAAGAGAGGCGATTCGTGTTATTGTTGCACGAAGGGCTCAGAATGGAGTGCGATGTTTCTCGGAAACGAACCTTAACCACCTTAATTCCCTTGAACAAAGCCTAAAGCACCGGAAATACCATTTTCTCAACTGCACATCCCAATTTGAACGGAGTCTACAGCAACTTCAAATTCAGAAAGACTCGTCATGTTCAGCCGGACATTCGTTCTCAAAAGAGCGTATGCCGAGTCACAATCCGACATATCCAGCTATGTGTCGACGCGGCCTCGGGCCGTAGAACTGGGTCATTACTGTTAATCGCGGTCTGGAACTCACCGCGCTCTCCGCACTTGTGCCGTTTTCCTGGATAAGACATTGTCTTACTCGGATGCGCCACCTTGAGTCCCGTGAGGAAAGGGTTAGCGTGGTATTGCCGGATGATGTCGGCAATATTGGCGCCGTAATGTCTAAGATTATCCGGCATTTGCGGGCGTGGAATGCAGAAACTCCCCTGGGAGCCCTGGGAATCAATCTTGTGCCGACCCCGTGGTATTTCACAACAATCCCTTGGCAGAGCGTTCTACAAACATTCCACGTGAACTCGGACCGAACGCTACATATGTATCCCTACCGTATTGAAGTCTTGTTTTTCGAGCGTTGTACAGCGTGCCTTCTGAGGCGCCAAACGAAGCCTTGCCGGGCCACGCCGGCTATTCAGCTGGGATTTTGAGAGACAGGTCTCGTCATTGATTGCCGCAAGACTGTCTTTGACGCTTCCTCATTCGATGATACCATCCCAGGGGTAAGTTCGTGGCGTGACTGACCCTGCGGCGGTAGTACAGTGGCTGAGGAGGCGTCCACTGAGGCAGACGGGAAACAGACATATCTCAAAGCTTAGCACAGCTTCAACTAGTCGCATGAGCTGTGTGACGGTGTCTGCACACACCGGTCAAATCGCGCCCAAAGATCGTGCAACCGGATTCTGAGCAAGGAATGAGATGAGATGGGTCGTACAGCGAGTCATCTATTTTCATTCTGCGCCCTCGGTTGGCCAAGCATCACCATGATGGTGCCAGCCTGATCAGGCTGGAAATTTAGTATCATGTATTTCTCTCCCGAGTAAGAGATAACTTTGGGATCATCTCCCATGGACAACCGAGACTCGCTATCACTTGCTACATTGATAAATTGAGAGGACATTCAGTAAGCTTGGTGTAGGTTGTACCGATCAAAGAGACCAAATCCCTGAAGTAATCTCCTGTACAGATATCTGTACAGAGACTGTAACGCCCCTGACTCGGATTTGATTAAGGGATGCGAAGGCCCATATGCCCCAGTGATAGTCTCTGTCGGGTCTCGTGAACGTTTCTTCTCCCCACGCTTACGGAGTTGACTTGAAAATATAATGGTCCTCCTCCGACGTGTATCCTTGTCGATGGATGCCCTCCTGAGCAGGCGGCTCCGCCTTGCAGGCGGTCTCAGCAGGCTTACAAGTATGTGCACTGGGTACAGGGCGTCGCTGGCGATGCTGCATGCAAAGTCCAGTAACTCGGAAGTTACTTGCTACTGCGGGTGTTCAATGGATATTCTACACATCATTCAAGTGTCCTCCTGGCTTGCTCTCTATTCCGCAATCATCAGGTGGGCTTTTCAGAAAACTGTTTACTTTGAGCACGGTCGTCGGATGTTCCAATTTCCCTACAGCATATCTAATTACATGTCGAGGCACCCTCTGGTTTCTTGGACTAAAGAGTAGAGAGTCAAAATCATTATTCATTCGATGGCCCCCACTCAACGTAACTGACCGCGTATGACTTTCAGTGAGAACGCAGTACATCGTACAAGATCTGTATTGCTGAGTCATGTGTTCTCGCTGCACCTAAGCGTGTTGAGTTACTGCTTTTCTTTGTTGATTCAATCTCCGTCGCAGTATCTCTATAGACCCGCGGGAGGCCTTGGACGCGAATGCCGTCATCGGCTACTTGTTGTTTTCCCTGACGGGAGGCAATCTTCCTTAACACTCTTTACGGTGATCGTACTTGGTAACATGAGGAGAGTGGCAAAAATTTGGTTCATGACAGAATCGATTTACGTTTCTTGAATAACATGGTCGCGACAAGGCATCCTGTTTCAGGGATGCAAAAGTTTTGAAACGGGCGATAATGCAGGCCAACGAGTGTAGGGTGGTGGCTATCCGCAAAAAGGAAAGCGTCCGCAAGACCCATGTGCAGACAGGGATTGAACATCGAGTCCAATAATTAAAGGGGCTTGCGGTTGGCGTTTAGGCAAGCTTACTCCTCGCTTCTTAAAGATTCTGGATTCTTTCAGACCTGACTGAACGGATAGCCGCCGAGAATTGTCGTGTAAAAAGGGGGATGGCCTACCCAACTAGATGGTCTATGCCTACAAGTCGCATTATCCCCACTTGTTGACAGACAAGCACCCCCTAGCAACCCCATCCAAGAGTCCAAACTTTTCTTCTGTGCCGATTGCCCGGCCCCGAAGTTCGGGAAAGTCATCCTATTTTACTATGTCTTCACCGAGCTGTCCATATTGATTCTCGATGGCCCCTCCCAGGACGTTGTGGTCCGAAATGAATGAAGACTTATCGATGACGCGACATGTCTATTTTCTGCCCAGTCGTCAGACCAAATTTTCATATATCTTAGCCGACGTCGCTTAGAAGAGCGTTCCTTCGATGCGCCCACATACCGACTTACCCGGGAGCCAGATACCGCTTACCTAAGGTTAAGAAAAAAAAAAAGAACACGAGCCCCTGAACGATCATGACCCGTCTGCAAATCCCTTTCCGCCGATTGTCGGATTCGGTAAACTGGGTTCTCAGGTGAAGGTCCCAGCCGGAATACGAAGGAACACCTTGACTTTGCCTGTGGGAGGGTGTCATCGAAGTCACGTCCACCGCTTTCTCAAAATACATGTCCAATGCTGTCCAAGAGTGCCGACCTCATCAACATCAGCTTCGTGGTGTCAAGATCAAACGCACGCCTGATTGTTTGTATCTCTGATACAGCCAGTGGTCAATTCACCATTTAAGATTTGGGGATCTAGCCTCTGTAATGTTGATCTTAAGAACGACTGGGGAATAGCAGACATTCTAGTCCTGACGGGTCTGCTGCTTACTGCATGACTTGAGATCTCCGGTGGGTGGACCACGTTGTAAATGTGAGCCTCTGCTCAGCCATCCCTGTTGATACGAGCCAGGGGGTTAGAGTTGCTGATAAGGTTGCCAACTTCTCAGATAGAGGATTGTTAGTGGGAAACAGTCGTACGTTCAGACACAACGCATTCAAAATGTTCAAGCGTGGGATACCGTACGGAGTACTATGATCTGGATGAACAATAAGCTTGATATTTGAGTGTGTGCGACCAACAGAAGGTGCAGAAGTCATAGATCGTGGTGGAAAATAGAAGAGTCCCCGGCTATTGTTGCTGGGAATTTACGAATGGGCTGATCTCCCGGACTGTTCTCATCGTCGCATCGGACGAAAAAGCGGATAACAATGGAATAACACAGACGCTAGTAAACTTGAGTGTGGTCCATGTCCAATCAACTTTTGGAAACTAATCCATGGCAGGCATCGTGCGGCTCTGCCAAGTTAATTCACTTTGGACAAAACGGGATGCCCCACGAACGTGGTTCCCTTTTCGGCTGCATGCCGCTGCCAAAGGCGATGGCGTGAAACTTGGTCGGAAATTTAGAAGGGGCTTGATTACGTCGAGTATCCCTTTCTGGACGACAAGGCACAGCGATGGGCCATGGTCCAGTATTGAGAGTTGAGCTGAGAATACTTTATAAGAAGTTGGAAGGGCTTTCGTCTCATATGGCTTCCTGTTCGGTCATTCTCTTGCTCTCCAACGTTTCGTTCCTTGTCGCATTCCCTCCTTATTTCCCTACCTTTTACTCACTTTTTTAACTTCTTCGTTCGTTTTACAGACACAGGATGTCTTCCCTTCTTTTCGCTACCGGCCTCCTCGCCGGCCTGGCCCAGGCCTACACCCAGGTCAACGTTGCCTCCCCGTTCATGACCAAGAACATCGATCCCATTGTCTACCCCGGCCAGTACGACAAGTCTCACTTGCACTCCTTCTTCGGCTCCGACGCCGTCACCATCAACACCAAGACCAGCGCCGAGCTCCAAAAGGGCTGCACCAACGCCGAGAACCCCAACGACTTGTCCGTCTACTGGATCCCCACGCCGCTCTACACCACCGACGGCGGCAAGACCTACGAGCCCATGCCTCTCTCGCGCTTCAGCGCCTACTACAACCTTGGCGAGACTGAGGCCGAGGTCGCTATCCCCCAGAACCTCCAGATGGTTGCCGGCAAGGCCACCGCCACCACCGAGGGCGACATGATCGCCGACGCCCAGTCCTCGTGGGCCTGCGAGAACGGCGGCGGCGGCAGCACCGATGCCAACGGTTTCCCCTCCTCCACCTGCGGCACCCACCTCCAGCAGCTCCTCTACTTCCCCCAGTGCGTCAACACCGAGACCCTCGAGACCGCCTACAAGACCAAGCGCGGTGGCAGCTGCCCCTCCGGCATGAAGTCTATGCCTCAGCTCCGCTTCTCCATCCGCTACGACCTCCGCAAGGTTCTGCCCAACGGCTGGAGCGGCACCGCGCCATTCAAGCTCGCCTGCGGCCCTGCTTGGTGCTCCCACGGCGACTTCATCAACGGCTGGACCACTGAGGCTGCCACCAACATGCTCGCCACCACCAAGGAGAAGCAGAAGTTCTCTTCCGTCAACGGCGCCCTCGGCACCTACAACTCCGGCCCTACTTGCACGGCCACCGACGCTGACCCCTCCCACGGCACCGGCGACTACGCCGAGAGCGTTGCCGCCATGAGCAAGCGTGACGTTGAGTCCTGGGGTTGGTCCACCAAGTCGCGTTTCGTTCGCGCATAAATCAAGAGCATCACAGCATTTGTGGAGTTGAGCAGCGGCGTTGTTGTACATAGACCATCACGTGTCGGACACTTCTTTGTATCATACTACCTACTTTAGAGGAACGAACATACTTGGCTTGTTGAGCCAGCTGGAGAGCGCAGTAGAGGCTTGATTGCACTACTTGCACCGGTATACAAAAAACCCAATTTTTGACCATTACGTTGCCCACCATACATGTGACACGCTTGCCGAGTTAAGTTTTTCTCAAAGTCTATCGAAAACAACTAGGTGAATAAGAACTGCTGGCGTCGGCAATTATCGACTCTCCGAGCGGCTTGGCCACACGATGACCATGACGCAAGGTGCTAAAGCTGCAACTCGGTTGCAAAACCTGATGAAAGCCTGCGGGCTGTGAAAAGACTGTTCATCGGGGCCTCCCTTACTCTCCCTATAGGACGTGCGCTATAATCAGCGTTCCCAATAAGATCTTCTATGCTTAAGTTTGAGGTAAAGCAAGCGGCAGGCTATCAATGCCGTACAGCGGGGACCCGCTGTCGTCTGATCTAAACGACGTGGCAACCCGCGGGGTTGTTTCAAGACTAAAATTGCTGGTACATCTAAGCGATGATCAAGGAAACGATGTCAAGGCCAACGAGAAGAGAGAGAATCCAGGCAATTCTTTTCTTTATCGAGAGTATTTGACTACACTTGATACTTCGGCTACAGCTATTAAGAAACTCCATACTTATCTTCAGAGCCTCTTCCGGCCCCCGCAAAGACATGATAATTGTCCTCTTTATGCACCTTAGTCAACGTTATGATGCTGGGTCCTGACAATTGTTCTATTTTTCAGCTGCCGGCATCTTAAAAAGTCCAAGTATTTCTAGTAGAAAGTGCTCATATGTATGGTTGTCGGATTTTGGGATCGCGAATTCTTTACTGTGGCAGAAAAAGGTTTGGATTCTTCGTGGGTCAAGTCAGACTTGCTGCCTACCTGTTTTCGCGCCATCCGTCTCCTAAGCCTTTCCAATATGTGGCCCGAAGGCCTTAAGATATCATCAAAGTGCTATTGGCGCCTGGAGCTACTCCAACGACAGTGATTGAGTCCTAAAATGGCACATTACGCACAAATTCAGACTATCTATTAGAGAGTAAGTCGTTTTTCACCAAGGTCTTACATCACAAGTCAGTTCTCAGAAGATGTAGTGAATGCGCGGTCCGCCTAAGACTAAATTGACGCTTGAGCAACCACAACGGTCCGCGTCCAATCCGTAACTTGGAGGATGTAAATCGCAGTGCCCAATGCAGGGGTTGCAATCTCCCATGCCCAGTGTTTGCATGGTTGTCTGCTCAATTGTTAAATCGTTCACATATTTGCTCGTTTGTTCGTTGGTCAGTCGGTTTGCTGTTTCGATTTCGTCGCCAGTCAGATCAAATCGCACGCTCCCAACCAACCGAGGCGATCCACGCACGGGAAACCCGACTAAAAATGAGACTGAATTGCGCTGCACGGAATCTTGTCAAAACTCAAGTGCAAACATCTTCAAAGACTCATGGCAGACGTGCTATCGTTTAAAGCCTGCCCTGTTAAATGGTTGACAACGCGGACCAACGGCACAGCATATGCTGCTCCGCCCACCTGACTAAATGCCACCCACAGAGTGTAATTATTTGCGCCGGATGACATCTATCCGAGATGAACGCTTCAGGGCTCCAACCGTTGGTTATGGTACGATTTCCGATGTTTGCTCTTTGCCAAACCCCTGGGACTCGACCATTAACCCCGGCAGAGGCGCGTGCCGGAGCTACTCCAACCCGCGCCACGCGAATGCAACCCAAGACCGGAACCATCAGCACCAGCCCTAAATCGTTAGTCTTGTGAACTGCTGCGTTGGTCGCGGGCGAAATGTGTTAAGCTTCAATGGCTACACCAATCATCGACGCGGTTATGGAACCGTTGACGTCCTTCTGTCGCTGGCGGGCTTGGCGGAGTCCATTGGAATGTTTGTTGACCACGCGCTACTTCGCTAATCTCAGACACAACGACTTTTCTTTCCAGTGAGCCATATAGATGGAGAGTGACCTCGTAGGAGTGGAAAAGTTTAGTTTCCTATTGTACAAGGATAGCAGACCGCGTTTGGACCAAGACGCCTTTCCGTAATCCCAACGCTCTTGAGGGCATCTTTCGGACGAGATGAGAACCTCACTCGCCGGACCAGTGTCTATTGCTGCGATGCAGCTAGGCGTTACGGCCGAACTTCTTAACTTGCGCATGAGATCTGACGACGCAGTATGTAGGCTTTCCAGAAAAATCAATCGGGGGAAACCAAGCTAATGTTAAACAACTTTTAGTGCATGGTTCTCTCTGATCGATTACCGGGAAAGGTGTCATATCCCAATTCGACGCAGTACGCCATTTCCAACAACTACTGGTCAGCACCTCAAGCTGAAGTTCATCCAGCATGCTTTGCAACGCCTGAAAGCGCGGAAGATGTCTCCGAAATTATCAAAATCCTCACTTCTCTCGAAGCACAGTTCACAGTCAAGAGCGGCGGCCACACGGCGTTCGCAGGAGGATCGAATATCGAAGACGGTGTCACCATCGACCTCGCACGCATTAACAAGGTGACGGTGTCAGATGACCGTCGGACCGTGTCCATCGGACCCGGAAACCGCTGGTACAACGTCTCACAGGTGCTTGATCCACTGGGTCTCGCCGTCGTTGGGGGCAGGGTCAATGATGTTGGCGTCAGTGGGCTCATCCTAGGAGGCGGTATATCCTTCTTCTCGGGCGAGTATGGATGGGCTTGCGACAACGTGCGCAACTTCGAAGTCGTCCTGGCGTCGGGTGAGATTGTCGACGCCTCCACGTCTGAGAACCCCGACTTATACTGGGCACTTCGTGGGGGTGGAGGCTCTAACTTTGGCGTCGTGACCCGGTTCGACCTCGTCGCTTTCGAGCAGGGAGATGTGTGGCTTTACAACCCCATCTACACTCTAGCTTCCAGTTCAGATCTCGTGCCGGCATTCGTCGACCTGGTTGTTGATGGTCTACCATCAGACCACGATGCACACACGTTCTTCGTGATTGCGAACTTTCCAGGCTATGGCGACATCATTGCGAACTACATGTATCACGCTAAACCTCCAGTGGTTGCAGAAGATGTGCCACCCGTCTTCGCTGACGCGATTGCCGTTCCCGGGGCTGTTTCGACAACGACACTAGTGGCCAACGTTTCTACTCATACGATCAACCTTTCAGAGCCCTACGGTATGCGCAAGTCGTGGTCAGGTACTTCTATCTTCCTCAAAGAGGGCTCGGCCCAGTTCCTTCAGGACATCATCCCGTTGTGGCAGGCTCATGCCCAGGATCTTATGGCTGCCGCCGGCAAAACAAACACAACATTGTCACCTCTGCTCGTGTATCAGCCGATCTCAACCAACATCATCGAGGCGATGCAGAAGAATGGCGGCAATGCCCTCGGGCTCGCGCCTGAAGGTGGCCCGCTCGTTCATATTCAGGTCACCACGCACTGGGAGACGTCTAAATTGGACTGCCTCGTGGAGGAAAGTGTCGCAAAGCTGATTGATGAGATTGATACTCTTGCAGAGGCGAGAGGCCTTGCCGCAAAGTACATTTACATGAACTACGCGGGCAAGTATCAGGATGTCTATGGAGGCTATGGATCCGAGAACCACGACCGTTTGAGAAGAGTTTCCGATGTCTACGACCCGGAGAGGTTGTTGGAAAGGCTATGGAGGGGATATTTCAAGGCATAAGACTTGTCGGTTCTTGAAGTTTCCAGACATGCCTCCTTGGTGATACGAATCTTTTCAATCAACTATTTGTACATGATTCCACCCATGTAGGTACATTATACCTTTGCACGATCAACATGCATCGACGATGCTAATTGCATTCACAAGATCCGCTTTTCCCATAGCCACAATGTTGGAAAGTCAACTCATAATTGCCATGTTGGCTCGTGATGTACTGTAGACTGGCCTCAATTAGCTTGCTAATAAAGAGGCTGGTGCTTGATTTGGATGGATGTTTTTCATCTCGCGACCAGCCAAAATAATTATATCGCATCTGACTAACATTCGAAACAACAGCTAACACGTAAACCGAGGGCAATCCTCAATTTGGATTGAACTCGGGTTTGAAGCCAAAATTGATTTCGGGGATGGTTTAAACTTCCGCTCAAACCTTCCGAATCTGATGCTAGGTTCGCTCGGGTGTGCCCCGAGCACGATGGATAGAAGCTGAGCAGTGAAGATATGCCCAGACTGATTGCTTGTATTTAATGATTATTTGGATTATGAGAAGGTCCGCTCTTTAAAAATTGTTCCCTGTAGTCTGCGATATCATGGCACTATGGGAACTTGGGAAGGCGTCATTGGCTGCTCTATTGTCTCCAAGTTGTTACAATCTGAAACGGTGAATCACAAATAGGCCACAAAACTGGACTATAGATTTTGAGTTAGTGGGCAGTATAGTCATCCAGGTTCACACTCGTATGAGCGATATGGTCTGTTCTTCTGTGAAAGAGTCCTATGGGTAATATCGCGAAATTACTCGTTGCGAGAACTCCAGCATCTGGCAAGGGAAACCTAGTTCAACAACATTGGTTGCGCCTTGGCAAACTTGTGAGGCAATTATTAGTCAGCTTTTATCCTGTGGTTTGAGGTCAAGCGAACACTCTGTGGGGCACGCCGAGATAATGAAGACGCCGATCTCGCTATATCTAATCAATCTCTCAAACTTAATCACCTACTAAGCACTGTGTTTAAATATCAAGAGAAGGCCTGTCTACTTGTAGATCTCTTTGATCTGTATTCATGTCTTGTCTCAAGTTCTCCTACACGTAAACACCTCATTGTCACTTCGCCGACCACGAATTGCTTCGGACAAACCCGCCGATCACCACTCTAGCATCCGTTCATTCGACCAGCCCCGATAAGCTGACAAGATCAGCCCACCCAGAAGAACATCATGGATATCCAAATTTCGCCAGCGACGATAGATGACATCCCAGAAATCCTGGAACTCACCCAGAAAGCACGCGTGGACATGTACCCGCATCTGGACGAGCACTGGCGTGCCATGAAGGCTGAGCAAGATCTCGCAACGTTCCAGAAGACATTTTTCGATCACCCAGATGGCGCCTTTATCGTCGCGCGATCAGAGAACCAAATCATTGCGACAGTTGGATATCAACACTACGATTACCGATTTCCGCAGCTCACTCCACTGCCCGACGGCGTGGTTGAAGTCGTGAGACTTTTCGTGGTCCCAGCTTGGCGGCGCGGCGGATTGGCATCCCGATTAGTTTCGGCTTTGGAGAAGGCAGCGAGAGAAGCGGGCCTGAAACAGTTGTATCTTCATACCCATCCATTCCTGCCAGGAGCGATCAAATTCTGGGAACGGCAGGGATTCGTCGTTTTGGATATTGATCGAGATGATGCTGTATGGCAGACAACACATATGAGCCGTAACCTAGAAGGGTGATTTCAGCTCTAATCAAAACTATGCGAGGTTGTTTGATGCCAACGTCACGAACTGCGAGTCATCGTTGTATGGTCAAATAATTAGTAGTAATCTTTAGGTTTGCAGTGAAAATGATTACCGAGGGGAGACAAATTATAGACATTGACTACCTTACATAGTTGCGGATCATAGTCTACCATGATGCTTCTCAGAATGAAATTACTACATGTGACACTAAACCTTCAAACAGGCGTTGACAATCCTCTGTACCTTTTGATCCTTGTCCGCGAAATCGTCTCCCAACTTCGTGATATCGGAAGCCGAGAGCCCCCTGCGTGCCTTGGCCGCCTCGCCGAAAGCTTCCTTCTCCGATCTCGCGCCGGTACCGAAGCCGCCTACAAGTAAGTCAAACCCCCCACTTCCTGGCACCCCCCTGTTTCTGGCACCCACAAAAACGATGGGATCACAACCCAACCTCCTCATTACTATTAACTATTGATCCTCAACCACACCCACTACAATACAACTGCCAGCCTCACTAGGGCATTCAGAGTCGCTGGATTCAGCCGTAATAACCTCCTTTTCACCCGCTTCGATTTGAGCCCGATGGATATCCCTGATGTTCGCAAACTTCGTGTTGGGATCGATCTGAACAGTCTTCCTCTTCCTAACTGCAGCGTTGGTAACTTGAGCCCTCAGGTGAGCCAGCTGCTGCTGGGCAGCTGCCAGTTGCCAGGCCTGCTCTGTGAAGCCTTTTTTCACCTTCCTGAACAGCAGCCGTTGAGTGCTGGTATCATTGTCGAGTTGGGTGTATAAGTGCAGTTGACCGCTGAGCTCTGCCAGCTTCCTGGGTGTCGACCAGACCACTGCAGAGGAAGCAGAATCCCATGGCTCAACAGGGGTAGTTTGTTGACCATTATGGCATCGCTTTTTGCCCCGACTGGTTGGTTTGGGTGTGGTGCTTAGCAGAAGGCTCAGGTAATACCATAGGGTTCATCAGGGGCTTAACCATCGCTACAGGGTGTAGACCAGTCCACTTCCAACCACTTCTGATGTTCGAGACTGATAGACCAGCAAGTCGAGCCTTCTGGTAACAGTCCAGGAAGTTCCTTTTACCTATAATGGTAGAGTCGTTCCATTGAGACAAGTAACCGAGCTCCTTCCGATAGGCTGACTTAACAGGGCTGAAGACAGACTGGTCAAGTGGCTGGAGGACATGAGAGGAGTGTGGTAAGAACAGTAAATGGATATTGTTAATATAGCAATTCCACATGAAGTCTGTCGTCGTATGACCCATGCCCATCCACAATCAACAGTCGAGCCTCGCCCTCAGCCTCGGGCATAGTCTGTGGGATAAACACCTTCTCTAACCATTCAATGGCAGTTAAGTCTGTAGTCCAGCCATTATCTGTTGCTGTAAACTCCCACCCATCGTATGGAACCAGATGTAATGGAAACCACTGTTGTTGGACCGTCTTCCCTTGAAAATGATAAGAGGACGAAGTGCCCTACCCAAGGCTGAGATACACTCAATGATAGAGACCCATGCCCTCGACCCAGGTTGTTTCTTGCGAACAGACGTCGTCTCAGCCATGCCCAGCACTAACCCATTAGCTCCCTGACCCTCGAGGATGCCAGTCTCATCCATATTATATCTGTTGGCTGGTTTGATGTCCTTGATCTCAGGGATAGCAAGGAACTTAAACCAGTTCCTAATGACCTCAGTAGATGCCCCATTAACGCGTCTAGAATCGATGGAACGACTTCTCTGAACCTTAATGATAGGGTTCCTTCTCACGAAGGCATAGATCCAGCCTTTTCCTAATGGTTTGGTATCCCCAGCAGCAGCCAGAACTCGCTCTGCGAATTCCTTCACCTGTTGGTGCGTTGGTGCGAGGCCCAGCGAAGCCTGAATGCGAACCCATTGTGCCAGCTTACTCTCCTGGTCAGGAGACAGCCTCTGCCAGTCAGCAAAAGCCACTTTCCTAGTCTGACCACCTTGGAGACGTAGTTGGAGGGTTGATCGTGGTATCCCATACTCCAATGAGGCTCTCTTTTGACTCTTGCCGTTTGAGATGTCCTCGAGAGCCTGACGAAGCTGATCTTCGGTATATTGAGGCATTAGATATAGAAGAAGGTATGTGCAAAAAATGAGCCCATTTGGACTCGAATTGAAAATGTTGTGATAAAAGGAGGTTGGGGGTGGGCATTGCGTTGTGGTGGATTTTCGCGTTTTTGTGGGTGCCAGAAACAGGGGGGTGCCGGGAAGTGGGGGGTTTGACTTATATCCATATTCGCCGGCTACCATGTACTAAACCAATCGAAGAGCGTTTGTGGTTAAATCTCGTTGCCAGTAAGCAGAGAAACTTAGAAGATGCTGCCGACGCTGCAGAGAAGGCCGCCAAGGTTGATGGCCTTGAGGATACCTCCGACGAGGCCAAGGACGATGGGCAGAAGGCCGGCAAGGACCTCAAGGAGGAGGCCAATGACACTGCCAAGGACGGAGCAGACGAGCTGCAAGAGACCCTCGATGAGGCCGTTGAGGGAGCAGAGGAGGTGGAAGACGACGGTAAGGAGGACGAAGACGATGGGGCCGAGGAGCTCGAAGATGCCTATTGAATGGTTAGCGGGAGTCACTCTGAATGGTCGTAAATTGTTTTGTAAACTTACTGCAGCCGAGAACCTTGATGACATGCTTCAGGCAGTAGATGATGTCAAAGATGAGCTCAAGGACGCAGGAGATGATCTTCTCCTTCTCCTCGCCGACAATCTCGACAGTCTCGCCAAGGCACTCGACAATGTCGCCGACCAGGGAGTGGATCAGGCTGATGATGATGGTGACCTCGCTCTTGACGAGCTTGATGATGTCGGCCTTCTTCTGGCCGATCTGGCCCTTCGTGACACCGTCAACGGTGGAGTTGATGGTGGAGCAGTGCTTCTTGACCTCGACGATGGTGTACTGGATCTTGGTGTAAACGACCTCAGTGCGCTTATCGAGGACGTCGGTCTCGGGAGCAACGGGGATGTGGACGACGGGGACCTTGGCGACGTCAGGGACCTTGGCGACGTCGGTGACATCCGTAGGGAGGCCCGGAATGGCAGGCGCCGCGAGGGAAGTGGCGAAGAGGGAGGAGATGGCGACAAGGCCGAGGTTGAGGAACTTCATTTTTGCGGTTGGGGGGTTTGGTTCGAATTAGTTAAAGAGTGTGGTGTAAGTTGGATTAAAGAATGACGAAGAGACAGAGCTGAAAGAGCCGGATAGTCTGAAAAGAGTGACTGAGTGAGAATGCTGAAGCTGGATGAAGAAAGGTCTCTATTCTGGCGGAGTTGTCAAAGGCTTAAGTACCTGGAGGACGTGAGGTCGACGCACGAACAACACCTATCATGACATCCTCATGGAGAGAATCATGACCCTCAACAATTCCCCGAGGATGCCGATCGCAAACCTCCACAAGGTTTCCCAATGCAGCTCGAAATTATCCCTTTAGGTGCAAGATCATGGGTCGTTTCCTAGTTTGTTCCATCAGCCTCTCCTTGGCTACCTCTATTTCCTAATCATCCTTCCAAACCCTTGACGAGAGTTCGTCATGGCGGCAGACAGCCTCCCGTGCCCCCGGCTAGTCAAATGTGAAAAGTTGACGATCAGAGCTGACCTGGCAGGGCAGCTATTCTGCTTCGGGGATTTTAGTGGGAGACGTCCCCATGAAGAACCCTTGACGTTGACGATCGTTACTCCACGGATGCTCCGCGACGACGTCAAAACGTTCGTTAGCCACATGTAGGGAGAGACACGATGAAATTAAGCTTGGCATGCTTGCTAGGTGCCGTTCGACCGTTGTCCTGCAAGCTCAAAGTAAAAACTAGAAGGAAAAGTTTGCCCTTGCTTATCCGCACCTGAAGTCGATAGTTTGGTTGTCAAATCAAAAGTCAAAGTCGGTCGACTTTGTTAGCGGGCAATTGTCTCAGCGCCGCTTTGTGAACCAAAGCAAACCAAACCCAATTTCGAGATTGTCGCTGAGCTTCTGGGCCGGAAACAATGTTTTAGTGAGCTTTTCGTGGCTTTCGGAGGCTCGGGCCCCCCCAGAGATCAGCGGATTCGCGGGTTGCTTGGCAAGGGTTGCCGATGATCATCATTTGAGACCACAGCCAAATCCCGAATTGGATGTTACCCTCTTCACGAGATCATAGTCCAGAAGGTTTCGTAGGTCAGAGGCGGTGAACTTAAAACAATAGTCCTGTGATGGTCGCGATGCAGGGCGGCAGGCCGTTCCAAGGTGCGCACTGCGTTGGATCACCAACCTGAGTTGCTGACTCTTTGACCCCTTTTTAGGGCATTCAGCTTTTGCCGCGGCTTGCTCCCGGCCTTTCGAACCCAATTTACCGGGACAATTTCCCTTTTCTCGGGTACTAAGATCAGCCAGCCATTCCAAAAGATTATCTCTTCCTCTCGGTGTGATCAGATAGATCTAACGTCGCAAGCAGAGATTGCAGGAGACTGGGCGAGGAGGAAGTCGGGAGCATGCGGCGCTAAGTGAAAGTGCCGGCAGAGACTGTCATCGAAAATGGCGTTGTGATGAAGACAGCCCAGGAGTCCAGGACTCAGGAGGCAGATGAGAGATGCCCTGCACGGACAAAGCGACATCACCAGGGGAAATTCAGACAGCCCACATTGTTTGGTCTCATGCGTGCGCCAAAGTCGTCTGAATTTCTCATCCCGCTGGCTGGCTGTTGTCTTGCATTCGCTGGACGATGATGCGACCCCTGGCTTCAGTTGCGGGGGATGAGAGGCTGGGGGTCTCTTTTCATCCTCTAGAATCTCCTCCATCGGATATGACCAATGGCTTTAGCCCCCTTTTCGTAGCTATTATAGCATTGCAAGAAGGATTTTGGCTCATCCCCCCGGCCAATACGATGATGATATGGGCGGAATTGCCGACATACCTCTCCGCAAGGGAGCGCGAGGCGCGAGGTCGTGTTTTACACCAGAATTGTCTCCACGTGTATCAAGTTGCCGATCCATCCGCGGCAAGGATGGGGCTAGATCATTCAAGCAGGTAAGTCTTACCGATTGGAAAGACGAAAGAAAAAGATACTGGTGTTTTGATCTTCTTCCTTTGGGAGATCGGCGGATGAATTCGGGGATCAGCCGCATGGGAACCGAAGAATGTGAGGTCGCGTGCGAATGCGGGAGACAAAACCACACAAGCCTTTCTTGCATTCTCAAGTTGATGGAAACAATGAGCTTCCCGTGCCTTGGCAAGACACGGGAGTGGCAAGCTGGTTGGGAACACTCTAAACACCAAGACTTGGCTTCTACGTTTTTTTGCTTCTTCAATCTGAGGTAGTCCGCTCAACTTCTTCAACGATGATTTTCCCTTTTTTGGATGATGCGTGTCACCGCCCCGACACTCGATCGCCAGTACGCCAGTACCATTTGAGCCTCGGAGGAGCCCGACCACTTACGAAGCCTACCGCCGAGTCTCACTCCGCGAAATGTCTGAGAGCATGCCATCTCAAGGAGAAGCCTGCACAGAGTTCTGGGCATGACAGATGGCAGGTGACAGATGACACCAGACGCGAGCGCCGTCCAATCCTCCCCTCGTGTAATGCGTTGCACCTTCGTTTTCATCATCGCCTTCAGCTTCATCCCATCTCGAATGCATGTGTCAGCGTTACGCTCACCACTGACAGCCACATCAGCCGCAAGTGGCGGACGCGAACCAGGCGCGCAGGGAGATCCTATCCTTGGCAAGTGAAACATCAAGCGTTCGGGCCTATCACGGCGTGGTCGCTGCAGCGGTGACCCACGTCCAGACGGGCCCAAGACGGGTTTCACAAAGCTTTTCAGTCTTCTTTTCCCCTTCTTTTCAGGGGAGATGGCTGCGCGGTGGCCGCGGCCGACATGTTAGGCGGCTGCGACCCGAGTCGGTTATGCCAGCCGACGGTGACTGTGCCTTTGTCAGTGATGCTCTCGGTTCGGTTGGGCGCGTGGTGCAGCCGCCGTGGGCAGCGGGGGCAGATCAAGATGGAGCATCCTTGAGGTAGATCTGTTTGGCTGACTGAGTTCAGAGACGCATACGTTTACATGTCGGGAAAAACTCTGTGAAATGCGCACAAGTTGGTTCGAGTTCTTCGCGTGCTCGCAACTGAATTACGTCAAGCGAGTCGTGGTGCTGGAAAACCTCCCGATGCAATCGACCGAAGATGTGCCTTTCGCGGTGTCGCTATTCCCATGTTTCTGAGTCCGAGTGACACACCCAAAGGCGAGTGAGGGTGGGAGAGAGGCTTCGCTCCTCAACACTCAGACCTGCAGTTGTCAGGTCAAGCCGTATAGGAGCGAAGTGTTATGCCCTGTCAGTGTCAAAGTCATCCAATGAGTTGCTCCTTACGTCGGGCGTTATTATCGATGTCGTCCAATGTTGACCGAATCTGCGGACATTGGCCGACACCTGGTCGCTATTGAAGCCTTACACCGAATATTGTCGCCCCCCGCCCCACCACACGTTGGACGTCGCGAAGGGAGGTGAAGGTGTCGCGACGTTTCACCTGCCTCAGACGTCGATGGGGCTGCTCGTCTCGTTCCTGGATCTTTACTGCTTTGGGATAGGGTCGCGTTTGGGACGACGTCTGGCTAGCGAACGCAGTCCCAAGCCATGGCCATCACCAACCCGAACCCATACGAAGAATAGCCGCGGACATTCACCGTACGCCTTTGGGGCCTGCCTGTACTGCTGTTTCGCAGACTTTCTCCATCATGGACGTCGAGGTCTGGAGAGGCAAGTATAAAGTCTAATGATCGTCCGCCTCTAGGTTGTGGTTTCCGCTTCTCCATTCAGCAGCTTCACTTCTTCGTTTGTATTCCATTCTCATCTCATCGCCGATTGATTCGTGCGGATTTAAACTTATTTCCAACTCTTTCACTTCTATTCAGAACCTTCATTCCAATCTAATCCGGCTCGGATCCGAATCATCGCTCTAATCAAGTTGCTCATACTTCAAATCTCCACAACTCTCTCAAAATGGTTTCCAAGACGATCATCTTCGCTCTCGCAGCAGCTACTTCTGTTGCCGCACACGGCAAGGTTGCACAGGTCACTGGTGATCTCGGTGGCAACGGCACTGCTCTCGCTATTCAGGGTGGCGTTGTTCCCGGCCCCGGCCCCAACCGCAAGGTAAGTTCACGAACCCATCACAGCCAAAAGACCCAGGAGCCCAGAGGACTGACTTATCCCAAATCAGACTGAGCTCGACACCACTGTCTTCAAGAGCAAGAACATCATGACCGACGGCATGGGCAAGACCACTGGTGGTGGCAAGGTCCAGGCTGCCGATATCTCCCAGGCCATGGCTCTGTCCGGCGACACCCTGCCTCAGGTCTCCTCCACTGGCGGCAGCATCTCTGGTACCTTCCACGTCGTCACCACCGACGGTGCCGGTCCTCTCCGCGCCGTTCTCGACCCCACCGGTACCGGCGCGTTCTCCCAGGGCACTGAGCTCTCGGTCACTCAGCAAGTTCCCGGCAAGAACGGTAACATCAGGCCCAATGGCCAGGTTCCTGGCGGCAAGCGTTCCCTCTGGGAGCGTGCCATGAGCGTCATTGAGAAGCGTGCTTCCAACGTTAACATGGACTTCGTAAGTAGCACTGTACTCCACGTTGGGATACCATTCACTAACACAGCTTCCCTCAGCCCATGGCCTTCTCCGTGCCCGCTGGCACCACCTGCACTGGTACCATGGGTGGCCAGAGCAACGTCTGCTTGGTCAAGATTGCCAACAACAACGGCGCCGGCCCCTTCGGAGGTGTTGTGCCCATCCAGATTGCCCCTGGCGGTGCCGCCACCAACTCTACCCCGGCCGCTGCTCCGGCCGCCAAGCGCGAGGTCGAGTTCCAGGCATAAGATGTGATCATCATCGATACTCGTATACAGATTCGGGGATCGGAACACGAATCTTGTTGTTCAAGGCCCCTGGTGGGCAGCGTTTAAGATTGCTGAAAGGGTGTAAGCTGCAAATAGTTAGCCAGTAGCTCTAGTCTAGTGACCCCATCATTCTTCTTTGAGGATCATCCTCAACCTTTTGAAATTTATATTCATATTTCATCTTCCTAAATCTCAAATGTTTTGAAGAGCCGTCGTGAATGTTCAACTTCGTCGTTTGCTGCAGCTACTCATCGTTGCCAATATCAGAATACTCCTATAGTGTACTAACGTGGAACACGGCCATCCACGCTCCCATAGATGGAGATTAATGCACCTAAGTCATTCAATGCTTCAAGAAGGTTGATCACGAG